TATATATATATCCATGTATTCATAACTATGTTTTTACTTATACCTATTATCTTGTAAGCAATTGAGAAATAAAAATAAATAAAACCCTGTCCTCTTCTAGTACTGAGGTTATTTCCTACTTGGGCCATAAAATGTCTGCAAGAAAATTAATCTCTCCCGTGGTATAGCTAGCAAAGTGAGGAGAGCAAGTAAGAGAGTAATAAGCAAGTAACCTGGGTTTGCATCCCAGAAGAGTATGGCTAGCTCACGTAAATACTTGTAGATACTGTCGCTCGATGTAGATTTATAGATTTTTGTTGTTGGTAAATAAAAATTGAACACAAAAATAGTTTGTTGCAAAAGCGACTGCCTGCGAGGGCTCCTGGATTGGAGCTGAAAGGCGTAAGTGGAAGCAGCATGCTCCGTCCCATATTTGGGGAGGTATTAGGTCTCACTAGAAAAAAAAAACACGCCTGCAAGAAAACCATCAAGCTCAGAGAACCAAGGATCCCCAGTTCAACTCTGAGCTACAAATATTGGTATTTGGGTTGACGCAACATGGTAAATCTGACACTCTTCACACAGGCTGGGTTCCCACCAAAAAAATATGAAATACTAGCTTGATACCCATGCTTTGCTGTGAAACTATGTGGTCGGGTTAATTTTTTGGGGAGGAAAATAAGGGGGGGCGGGAAATTCTGCCTCTGCCTACCAGCATCCACCAGTATTCATCTGGCTAGCATCCTGTCAGTGTGAGTTGAGGACTGTTTGGAAACTGAAACTGTATTTGCTGTGCAAGCAAGGAGACAGCAAGGAGCCTGGGCATGGCTTAGCTCAGCTATTCTGTACTAAAGCTGCTTAGTGCTCTGAAACTGCTCTCCTCTGCTTGTGTTTTGCATTTGGAAGAGATTTCTTTTTTTCAGGTGGGGAGGGGGAGTAGAACTCCTTAGCATCAGAGCATGTTAATAATAATTATATACAAAATACTAATGCTCTTATGGTCATTTGGAAAAATCCTTTCTTAGTGAACCCCTAGAAGCCAAGAGGAACATACGTGTCAAATTTCAAGTTTGCAGGCTTTATGGTTCTGGAGATTTTGTAATGATGCACAAGTGGTATTTTGTGTATATATATTTCATAAAGTCCAACTGCCTCTTGAAAAAGCATTGTTTGTGACAACCACCAGCAGGGTGACTGAGAATCTCCATAAATCTTAGTAGATGCAAAACTGAATGTATGTGAAGGAATGTAAAGTTTTCCTGTGCTATCTGTGCCCGTCTTCCATTTGAGTTTCAAGGCCTGGAGAAAATGAACCACAGAAAACCCAACCCAAAAGGAGATGAAAAGTTAAGTTTATACTTTGAGCAATAGCTGAGATAGTGACAAGAGGTTAAAAAGTTTTAAGAAAATAAAAGTCTCTTGATACCACTGAAGTTTTATAGACTTTATTCAACATTACAAAATCCATTTGTAGCACAGAAGAAAATAGTTCATTTATTCATTAACATTAAAATGCAGATTCTGCAGGAATATTCTAAATACATTTGGGTTGTTTCTATAGGTAATACATCCTATAAAATACAAGAGTTAGCCCTTTCCCTTCTCAAGTTAAGGAACCCAAAAGACTTCATCCTTTCTGCTGAGAGAAATACAGTAGTGTTTGCTTGAGCAAATACAGTAGTGTTTGTTTGAGGAGTATTTAAAAAAATACTGCACCTGAGCCTCACCCCCACAGCTAGTCTTCGTGGTTATAATATGGCTTTTCCTTAGGAATTTTTTAAAAAAGTTATGCAACAGTCACAGCAAAGGAGTGAATATTCAGCACATCATCCAAAATTTCACACCCAAAGCTAGACTCTGTTGCAGGGGTATTCAAACTTGGCAAGTTTTAAGACTTGTGGAACTTCCAACTCCCAGAATTCCTCCTCTAGTCATGTTACCTCAGGAATTCTGAGAGTTGGAAGTCCACAAGTCTTAAAACTTACCAAGCTTGAAGACCTTTGCTCTATTGTTTCAATATGAAATAGACAAAAAGTTACGACTGTTGTACAAAAACAGTCTCCCTACAGAAAACAGTCTTATGAAAGTTTGATTCCAAAATACCAGTCCCACGCCCTGGGAATGTTGCAATTATTAATAAAATTAAGCACAGTCCATAGTTAAGGCTGACTTGCATCAATGTAATTTTTGGCTTTTTTTAAGGTTGGCTGTTAACTCCTGGTCTTCCAGGAAGTGGTCGACATGGCCACCTGGCTAACTGAAGAATGACCCTCTCTGGGAAATTACAGCTGACTGCATTTGTGAGCGAGCCCAGCCAAAAAGAGCGAATGCGATAACGTTCCGTGGGGAGGTTAAGTCGCCTCAGAGCTCCATGAAACACATCCAAGAATCGCCGCTTGCACAGTAGGCGCCAGTTGCCATACAAGAAGAGAGGCCCTTCCCCACGAGGCCTCACTGCCAAGTAATTCTTGAGCGCCAGAACAGGGCAAAGCCATGGTTGCTCAGAGGGTCTCAACCAGTAGGTGAAGCGGCCGGAACCCATCTCGGCAGCCGTTATATGGAGGCCCACACAGTCTTCCCCCAGTTCAATGTCATCCAGGCAAAGAAGTTCCGGGTGGAAAGTGGTGCAGTCCTTGGCCACAATCTCTTTAGGGCGAAGCGCAGCATGGAAAGACAACAGAAACACCGCCCGAAACATAAGGCATTCATACATGTCGTCGCAGACGCTCTCGAGAGCTCCCAGCACCGATTCCAGGGTCTCTACATTCAGCGGGATCGGGGGTTCTTGCTGCCACTTCATGCAGATGATCATGTGGGAAGTGAACAGGTCCTGAAGCGGATCCTGGAAATTGAAAGTGTGGGATATGTAGGAAAGGCCAGAGAGGTAGGTCAGGATTCTGGGGGCAGAGACACCTTCCGAATCCAGAGAGAGGAGGAAGCCTCGGATCTGGTGTCCTGGGATGGGCCAAACCAAGGGGAACCTGACCATCGCGCGATAGGCGATGAACAGCAGCAAGCCACCATAGTATATTTTCCAAATCCTGGGGTGCCCTGATCGCTCAAGGATCCGCAGAGCCTGGATAGACCACCGGCCTACAGGACGGGGTGAAAAGCTGCCAGGGGCTTGGCCTCCAGTAGCCCCTTCCCCTGGAAAGCAGAAAAAATAAAAAATAAACCATCAGCAACTATTCACAAATAGCAACATTATTTTAAAACATCTAGAACTAATGTCTCCAAACTTGGCCAGTTTAAAGACTTGTAGACTTCAAACTCCCAGAATTCCTGAGCTAACATGACTGGAGGAGAAATTCTGGGAGTTTGAAGTCTACAAGTCTTTAAACTGGCCAAGTTTGGAGACCCCTGGTCTAGAAACAAGGGATGTTGCAATATTGGCTCTACCAAGCTAGTGCACAAACACTTGGCAACTTTAAGGCTTGTGGACTTCAACTCCCAGCTGGCTGTGGAATTATGGGAGTTGAAGTCGGAGATCTCCCTGCTTTATATGGGGGTTTTAAATGGGAGCAAGGCCTGAAATAGATAACAGTCCCTTTTACTGTCAGAAAGCTTTGGCAGCCATTTTCCCCAATCTCCCCTTACTTATTGCTAACCTAGGAAGAAACTTTTGTCTAAATAAAGCAGGGGTCTTCAAACTTGGAGGCTTTAAGACTTGTGGAACAACTCCCAGAATTCCTGAGCTAAGATGACTGGAGGAGGAATTCTGGGAGTTGAACTCCACAAGTCTTAAAGTCACCAAGTTTGGAGACCTCTGCTGCAGCACCTAGGATTTTCTGCCTAAGACAAGGGTCTTCAAACTTGGGCCAGTTTAAGACTTCAACTCCCAGAATTCCTGAGCTAACATGACCGGAGTAGGAATTCTGGGAGTTGAAGTCCACAAGTCTTAAAGCTGCCAAGTTTGAAGACCTTTGTCTTAGGCTGAAAATCTTAGGTACTATATGAGTTACACCTCCCCAAAAGGGACTTTTCACACCGAAAGGGCGAACGATTTCCTGGGTTGGGAGCCGAAAAAGGGGACAAAGAAAAACGAAAACAAGCATAAAGTGCATTCTTTAAGAAACGCGCGTCCCCTAGGTCAATAAGGACCAGGCAAACCGGTAGAGGATCGATCGGAAAATAAATTAAAAGAGCTTCTGGCTTTAGTCCCAAGCCCCTATCTTCACACCCCCACCAGATCACAAACAGGACAAAGATCTCCTGCCTTCCCTGCGAAAGCACAGGCAGCTGAAAGAGCACGCGTACTTTCCTCCAGACCTCGGCGCGCAAGCGCAGAAGAAGAAAAAAAAAAGGCAAAAACCGCTTGGCGCATGCGCCTGGGAACAAAAAATTTAGTGAAATAGTTCCCCCTCAGCACGCATGCACCTAATTTTTAAAAAACCGAGGGAAAACGGTCCGTTTCCTTCGGCACGTGCCGCTTTCTGCGCATGCCCAAAGGGAAGTGAACCCTTTTTTTTCTTTTTTTTTCGCGGCTTACCGTCTTCCTCGTGAGGTAAATCCGAAGCCGCCCCGAAGCCGCTTTCCGACATCTCGGCGACGGAAACATCGGCTCGGTGAGGCGGCGAGTCGACGGAAGAAGCTTCGTCCGCCGATCCGGGAGGAGCGGAGAGCGCTTCCCTCAGGAATTCGAAGGCCGGCTCCCCGGCGAGGAGCAGCAGCATTTCCCAGAAGCAGCAATCGATATCTTCGGGCCTGGAAACGAAAGGGCTGAGGCGGCTCATTTTCAAACCGGACGACTCCAGACCTACCAGCAATCTCTCTTCTGACTAGGGCCGAGTGCGGCCTTTTTATAGGCAAGAGGGGAAGTGGGCTCTCCTGGGAGCCAGTGAACGGCCGGGCCTATCCTTTGCTCGTTCTGATTGGCTCTTTTAAATTGCAAGACCGCGTGCTTTGGGTGAACGTGAGGTTGGCTTAGAAGCGCGAAATTCAAAATAGTTCAAGGCTAATTTGAGCCTTTTTTAGATAAGAGGCTGACTAACTACAGTAATTAAAGTTTAGGAATGTTGCTGATACGAAGCTGGAAACAACGGTTGAAAGAAGCTGGGCCTGGCAGAGTAGCATTGGGAAACTCTTGTCTATAAAGGCACAAGAGTCCCACCCCACTAAATGGTTAAAAACAAGCAAATGTTATTTAAAACCTTTAAAAAAAAACCTCAGCAAGGGCCTGTATGGGGAAAAAATGGAGCCCAAGTTAATTTGGTGAGGCCTGTAAAGGTATTTCCTCCTTCCAAATTTTGCTTCTGTGAGAAATTGGGGGATTCATTTTGCAGTTCATTCTTCAGAGCTTGAAGAAGCTTCTTGGATGAGAAGCGAAATGTGTGCAAAGAAAAACCAGAAAGTCCAGTTGCCTCTTGAAAAAACAAAGCACCTTTGGGATGAACTGGACCGATGTTTAATTATATTATCTGGAATTGGGGGGGGTGGGGGGCTTCATTTCATACAGAGATTCTCAGTCATCCAGGCCATGGTTGATTCCCCTCCCCAAAAAAGGCAACTGGATTTTAATGAACTCAAAATCCAGTTGGAAAAAGCATTTAGTCTTCAATATTAGCTTTTTAGCATGACAGTCTAGGCCTCTTTTCTAACTTCAAGAAAATATTTTTAAAAATTCTGAGCTCAGGCCATTTGTTTTTAGTATGTGAGAACTGATACTGAACAATAGAGAGTGTATTCTGGAAGTCCTTGAATACACGTGCAAGTGTTAAGAAAGATACAAAAGAAAAATTATACATTGGCAAGTTTTAAGAAGGATGCAAAAGAAAAAAAAATAACACTTGCAACTTTTATGATACAAACCCATCTGGGGAAGAGTAATGTAACCCATAATTTGCCACTTGTGGTATGCTAACTTTAATCAGTATTTTCTGTTTTTTAATTGTATGTGTAATCCATGATTTCTGTTTGATTATTGCTTTCTGATATATCACATATACTGAATGTATCATTGGTTTCCCTTCCCTCCCCTTTTAATAAACACTGTTTGAAGCATTTTTTAAATTGGAAATTAAGAAACAATTATGTAGTTTAATCCTATATAAGTACATTTGAAAACAGTGACACATACATTTAATGGAATTTGTTCCTACCCAATAATCTTTGGGACATTAATTTTACAGTCAAGTGATAAATCTGATCCAAAGGGGATATTTACTTAACCACATTTACACAGGCTTGTGCACTAACCTAAATGTGCTAGGCTAAATGTTGTACAACTTGCCTTGTGTAACCAGAACAATCTAGAACTGAACAAACTCAAAACTGTAGAAATGATGATAGACTTTGGAAGAAACCCTCCCATACTACCACCTTTTACAATACTAGACAACACAGTATCAACAGTAGAAATCTTCAAATTTCTAGGTTCTGTCACATGACCTAAAATGAACACCTAACATCAAAAGCATTATCAAAACAGCACAACAAAGAATGTTCTTTCTGCGCCAACTCAGGAAGCTCAAACTGCCCAAGGAGCTGCTGATCCAGTTCTACAGAGGAATCACTGAGTCTATCATCTGCACTTCTATAACTGTCTGGTTTGGTTGTGCAACCCAACAGGACAGACACAGACTCCAGAGAGTAATTAGGACTGCAGAAAATAGTAATTGCTACCAACCTGCCTTCAACTGAGGACCTGCATATTGCACGAGTCAAAAAGAGGGCTGCGAAAATATCTACAGACCCCTCACATCCCAGACATAAACTGTTTCAACTCCTTTCCTCAAAACAACACTATAGAGCATTGCGCACCAGAACAACTAGACACAAGAACATTTTTTTCCTGAATACCATCCCTCTGCTAAACAAGTAATTCCCTCAACACTGTCCAACTATTTACTAAGTCTGCACTACTATTACTATTAATCTTCTCATCACTCCTTAGCACCTATCCTCTCCCACTTGTGACTCTATGACTCTAACCTTGTTGCTTGTATCCTTACAATTTATATTGACTGTTTCCTAGTATGATTTGATTGCTTATTGTACGCTATGACTATTATTAAGTGTTGTACCTGATGATTCTTGATGAATGTATCTTTTATTTGCACTGAGAACATTTGCACCAAGACAAATTCCTTGTGTGGCCAATCACACTTGGCCAATAATGAATTCTATTCTATTCTATTCTATTTGCAGAAAATTGCTTTTTGAGGTAAAGAAACGAAATAAATAAAAAAGCCACTTTCCTGAAAATTAAGACTACACACATTTTCAGGATTTAGTGGCACAATAACTTCTGAGTAAACATGAGTAGCAATTGGCTTCCTATAAAATATGAAACTGCCTGTTTTCCTCTAGAAAGCACTGTCTTCCCCCTGCTTTTCCTGAGCATGCATTTATTTTGATTTGGAAAAATTTCTTGAAATAAATTGCCTGGTTCAATTAAATTTAAAATATATTGATAGGAAGAAAAGCGTTTGGTTTCTCTTCAACACAGTTTGAGTGAACTACTTTTTTCTTTTCTTTGGAGGGGCAGGTGTTTCCGGTATAAAACGAAAAACATCTTTGTGGTTACCCGGTTTCCTTTAGTGTGTGTGCCATCACGTTCCCCAACCAGCTTCTTTTGGGCTAGATTGCAGCACCATGTTTCATTAAACATTTACCTATTTTTTAAAAAATCCCACTCCTATTTTAAAAAATACAATATCTATAATACAGTTTCTAATTTGATGGGTCTGTTAAATGTTTCTGAAAACTTTTGACAACATCCTGTTGGACTTCATCAAGTCCAAATACTTCCAGAATGTGTCTGTTTTATTTCTACCTGCTGAACTTTACATTATTTGTCTTTTAACATGTTTATTGTAAAATAAAACCGCTCATGTTTTCTTTACAAAAAAATAATATATTGGCAAAAAGGTATATTTTACATCCATAGTTTAACACTATCAGCCTGGCTATTATTAAAGAGGGGGACACTTATTTGCAATTTGACTAGAGAACTAAGATGACTGTTGACTTACAACAGTTCATTTACTGACCATCCAAAGTTACAGCCATTTCGCTAACTTAACTGCAGTGATTCCCTTAGCATGAAAGGTCCTACAATGGGGCAAAATTCACTTAACAATTGTTTTGCTTAGCAACAGAAATTTTGGACTCAATTCTGGTCATAAGTTGAGGGCTACCTGTATTTAGATTTACCTATGATGCCTGAAAGTGCAAGCGTTTATGTCCAAAATGGGCAAGATAACTTTTGTATATTGAGTTAATTCAAAAATAATAGTATTCTTAGCTCATGAAAAGAAAGATCAGTCAAACATCAAACTTCATGTACTTAATAATGTTAATAATAAAATCCATCCTGGTTATAGGAAAAAATAACGAAGTCTCATAAAGTGAATACTTAACCTATCCAAAGAGAAAATGTTTTGGATTCTAAAACAAAATGTAAATATCTCAGTTTGATCATCTAAAATAATAAAATAGGAAAACAGTACCAGATCTATAGAAATATCACAGAATTAAATTCAAGTTTCCATATTTTTTGGAACTCTTCAGTCTAATTATTAAATGAAAGAAGAATGTAAACCTAATATGAAAGCCTAAAATTTTAAGATAATCAGAAAGATGTAATTTTAACATTAATCTCTGGGAGCATAAGATGAAATTGAGCAGGAAACTTTTGACTAAGCCATGTGATAGTCTTTAATTAGTAAGAGAATTAAGAAAATAACGTTTGGGCCAAACAGACTTAGATTAACTTCTGCTAATTACTAAACTGTTAAGATTGCCATTAAGAACTTTGCCTGTTAATTTATCCTTATACAATAGAAAAAGTTCAATTTTACATAAATGGAAATTCTGTTTACTGTACACGTTAATAAAATGCTCACAAGCCCATTCTTTCCTCAGTTCTGGAGGCATAATGTAGCTACATTTCCTTCATTTTTGTGGTCCGTTTTATAAAAATAATGTGTATTTGCTTGGGGGTGATTGAGGGAGGGCATGGCACAGGCAGAAGTGAAGAATTACCCTCTGTTGTTTGCATTTTTTAAAAAGGGTCATGGTGTTAATTCCATTGATGAGATTAGACTGATTTCTGTTGATAAGATTGCCTTTTAACAGTGCAACTGACTAGGTTTAAAGGTATGTGATTACAAACATCAGTCGTTCTAAATTAGCATTGAATTGCTAAATTAGCATTAGGAAAGACCTCCTCACCAAACTGTTAAGTGTTCTCATTTCTTAAATGTG